CATCCATTCAAATTTTCGGAGAGAAAATCACGACGTAAACCCTCCCAAGTGGGTGATCTGGTGCTTGTAGGGCTTGATAGTGGCCTGCCATGTCACAGGAAGGACTGTGGTTGCAGGAGAGTACCACCAGCCATCACTTTAGTTGGTATAGTACCCCACCTTCACCCGGCGCGTGATTTCTTTTTAGTTTCCCATAAGTAGGGTAGGTAGGTAGGTAGGTAGGTAGGGGCACCGCAGTGGCCGGTCAGGTTTTCCCAGAATTTCAGCATGCTGGTTGCTGGCCGCCCCAAGTCCAAGCAAAAAGAATACACAGCTGCTGAGTTGTTTTTTTACACTCTTTTTCCTCTCTCACGTGCATTCGAGGAGGACTGTGACCGGGTTTGCGATGAGACTGAGGGGTTGGTCGGGGTTTATAGTGCTGTAACCGACCGCCTCTCTCATACTACATGTAACACCCACCTCGCGAGCCGATCTCCGAAAGTGGCTCCTGTCCTCCTTCGCAATGTGCATGAGCGATCGCGACCGCGAGGTGGTGCGAGAGGCGGCGCGGGAGCGGATCCGCCCGGTGGAGGAGGCGGGCGGGGGAAGATGATTGATGGAATGGGACTGGGGGAGTGAGCGCGGCTCGCGGTCGGTTGCCGAGTCCTGCCATCCCCCGTGTCGCGGAAGAGCGAGCCGGCTCGGGTTCGAGTTCTGAGGCTGTCCATGCTCGGTGGATCTGTCTTGTCCTCCCCCCGACATGGCACGCCAGAGTGTCCCTTGTAATGCAATAGCTTGTGATGCGAGAAGCGTGCGTTGTGTTCTTGTGTTTTTATCCGCTTTCCCTCTGGCTCGACGAGCGGCTGGGTTCCAACTTTTTGCGGGATATGGTATGGTAGGGTCGCGGCCCAAAGGGTGGGGGGGTATGGTCCTGGCCGCCCAAGACTAGCCCTCGCCAGGGGTGGGGGGGTGTGTATGGTCCCTCGGCCCCTCCCTCTACTGCCGCCGCCGAGCCCGCAGCGCCATGAGGTAGGAGCACGCGCCCGTGTCGCGGAGCTGCTGCAGCTGCTCCACGCTTACCTCCACTCAACCAGGTCTTGCATGCCTCGCAGTAGACCATGCGGAGATCCTCGGGCCGGTTCTGAGGAGTCCCCGCTCCAGTGACCAATGTATTACCGCGGGCATGCCCCATCCGTGGGTGGTCACCCGAGCCGGTGCATAGAAGGCGTGGGCGAGGCCGCTGCGGTCCTACCGGATCGATCTTGTACATTTTTGGTCGCCTCACGCGACCGGCAGTCGTCCGGACGTGCAGAACTCCGAGCCGGGCAAGCCGTTGGGCTACAATGCACAGGCACCACACCGTCCCAACCCTCATCAAAACACCTGCCTGATGATGGTCGCAAAATCCGTTATCAGCGTAAATCGAGCTCGCCAGCATCCTTGCGGCGACGAAGCGCTGCGGGAACATCGCCTGTCAGTTGGTTGCCGGACAAAAGAGATAGCTTCTCCAACACTGTGCATTGGCCCAGCGCC